GCATAGCAAAACAGACCATTGGTTAAAAAAAAATTCTTAAAATTTCAATTGAAAAAAAAATGAATTTGTGTAATTAGTCATAATATATTCAAGTGTTATAAACGCCGATCAAATGAATTTTGTGAAACATTCTGCTTGGCCGAAATTTCGCCCTCAATAAATTTAATTCTATGTCTGCATATCAAGTTCTAATTAAATTTCAAACAATTAATGTTTAAAGCTTGGCAATCGCTGAATTTTAACGCGAGAAAGACCTAATTCGAATTCATACCGCTGAATTCTCATTAAGTTGTGGTCGTAGATGACCATCCAATGAATTACAAGATACTTCAAGTTTTGATACAATAATCTTGGTAACAGTGTTAGAATAATAATTATTATAGATATAATTCTTATTCATAGCTTTGCATAGATTTAAGTCTGGAGAAATTTAATGAGCATCATAAGGATATAATACGCACATCATTCACTTCCACTTTAGAAAACGAATATGACTTGAAATGAATTTAAGTAAAATACAATGAGTTTAAATAAATTACAATGCGTTTAAATAAATTACAGTGAGTTTAAATAAATTACATGACTAGTTTAAGTAAAAACACAGTAAACGTTCATTATCTTCGATCTACTAAATTCAAGTTATTGGATAATAATAATAAAATAGAAAAAGTATAAGAACAAACCTTTTACTTAAAATTTAACATATAATAAATTTTAAATGCCGTTTTATGTTCTATAGTTTCATTCTCTTTAGCATCCACTAAATTAACACTCTGTGTGTAAACTTAAGCGAGTTATTGCGTGTTTAAATAAACAACAGAAATGTAAGAAGGATGTAAAATACCCTTTTATGAAGAATATAGAGTTGAATAGGTTGACCAAAGATAGCTGAATATGTATAGTTGAACAGAAGGCACTTCTTATGCTTACAAAACCAACCACCATTTATGGAGTACCTCAAAAATAAGGGATTTCAAATCAAACTAAGTTAAATCTTACGATATCCCAAAGGTTACACAGAAATTATTAACGCACAAATTGGTTCAAACCTACACCGGCGTGAAAAGCACTATTGGCAAAAATAAAGCAACACCAAAGGTTGACTACTATCGTAGAATATCAACTATTAACATGGCGTTCAGCTGGCAGAACACGCTCTGTCTAAGCAATCTAAAATCTCCCTATAAATACTATATCTTTCTACCTCATTTAAATGCCCGCGAACTAAAATTTTCATTCTGGTAGTAAAACAGAAAGCGAGAAATGACAGTATAGATATTGAACACAAAATAACTGGTTAATTTAAGTAAATAAATATTTTACAATGTATTTTGGGCTGGCCAGTTGAAATCGTGACAACAACGATGCTAAATTATTTCTTTAAAGAAGATACGGAATAGCCAATATAATGCATGTTACGAGAGAGAAATTGGTTCTTGACATTAAGCAGCTAGGAACGACAATGGGCGGTTGTGTAGTTTAAAGCAAAACATTGGTTTCAGACGGAGGCAGGTGTTTTTGATGAGTATGCTGCTTGAATGACGTTTCAACTGCAGAATTCTTCGTCAAGCGAATGATGATGGCCGTTATATGCCTTCTGGCTGTACGCAGCACGTTTATAGAAAACTTCTCGTCCTGTATGGAGAAAATCGCATTTTACGAAAAACTTTTCTTAAGTGGAACATACATTAGGTTGTGAAACGTCATTACACGATGTAAGAATCATTTAGTCATTGGATCCAAACTGAGAAAGCTAGTACAATGCGTGAAGATGGATCTTAGAGTGATGATGCATTTCTTAGAACAGAAATTCATAACATAATGAGGATAATATATGCACATGAAAGTATCAATTGGTGGATTGGTGGATGCTCAAAAATATCAGCCAAATGGTTTTGCATTGCTGTTTATTAGACTGAGACAGTCTTTCTCAGTAAATTGTATTGAAAGGACATATGACCATCTGTTTTTGATTACTACGAATTTCGCAGTTGAAACGCCATTTTGATGCAACACTCTCCTCCAACGTTCTTGCCACAGTAATATTGTGTATGGTCTATAATCATTGCCTGTTGTCATAAACTTGTTTCTCTTCCGCGTTACTCGTTAAAAACAAGGTACATTTTAGAATGTTTGGTTATTCTGTATTCTTGTTCTTTGAAACTTTTACAGTTCTCAAGCCTCTTCATATGACCAAACCAAACAGAATGATTAACCATAATATTCAAAATGCGAAAAGAAGAATGAACATTTACTTTCCAAAAGTTTTGAAGGATAGTGATGCTTTCACCTGCTAACAAGTTCTTGTTTAAACTTCTCTTTTCATCACTGCGCATTCAACTCAGTTTTGTTCATAAGATGCAAATTTATTCTGCATTTTAGAATATGTAGCGGCGTCTAAGAGGCATAAAGTGGTTCAAAGATAGAATATTTCCGAATACCTTTGCGAAATAAAACAGGCGTTTTCTAAGCCACATTTAAACTCATAAAATATCCGGTTTATGTGCCATTCGTACTTTTTGTAATACATATGTTAAATCTGTGAGTGGTATAAGGGGAGGAATTCCTTAGTTTTTGCATATTTTTATGTTTTAAGAAGTTTTTTTTATGCTAATATTTATTATTATAATTTCAAATGACTCATCACAGTTCAAACACAATTTGTGCGCACTTTTAAACAATTCAGAAAAGAAGTATCTGCTAATAGTTTACAAACATATAACAAAAGCATTTTGTAACTGTCATTTTGTAACTGTTTATAAATACTTAAAAGATTTTTGTGTTCTTCATACCTTTTATCTATATAAATAGCTGAAGAAAATTTGCAAGATTTTATAAAATGTTTAGAAGCAATGTTTATAAATTTTATTATCACGAACGTTTATAAATTTTAGCGATGTTTATAAATAGAAGCGGTGTTTATAAATTTTACAATTTTTGTAAGCACATCTTGATGTGCTTACGAAAGTTTAAAGGCGGCTGTTCATAGTTTTAGCATTAGAGTACTTAAAAATTATTTAAACATTTCGTATATACATGGAGCTGAAATAAAACGTTAAACTATTTACAAATACTTAGAAATAAATTTCCATATATCTTTTAGGAATGAGTTAAAAATACTATTATTTTTAAGCAAATTAGAAGTATTATTTGAGCATTACGATTGAACGTTTACATACTAAAAGGTGCAGAGCGCTAAAACGAAACTATGAACAACTTTGAAACATTTTTCCTAAATATTGTCTTGCAATTTATTGGTACGATTTTCGAAATGATTACAATCGAAGAAAACGTTCTGCAGTTCTTAGCATATTATTTACAATGCATTACTTAGCGTATAATTTATGCGTTAATAAAACGTTCTTTGTCTGTATATATTTATAAATGATATTTAAATAAAAATAAAACATTATAAATCATAACTAGTTAAAAATAAGACATTGTAAGTTAATTAAAATTAAAGCATTTTAAATCATGACATTATAAATCATAATTAAATAAAAATAATGCATATAATTTATAAACTGTCTAACTTCAGAAATCAAAAATTGAAAAATTGGCTTTCGAAACGCATACTCTGTGTAGAATGCTTATAACATGGATATGGAATAGGTAATTATTTCTTATTTGTTCAGTTTTGGGTTTTACGTATGTTCAGTTTTATTCCATGTCTCTACATCTATCACTATAGCTCGTTTTTCACTGCATTAGCTGTCACTAATTTTCATAATATTTATATGAATAATAACACAGATATATAGCACAGGTAAATAACTATATAACTTTAGAGTAAAGGTTTATCATCTTACGTATTAAAATAACGGTATTAAGTTGCAGTTGCAAATACTTTTTACTATCTACTAATTGCTGGGTTTCTGTATCTAAATTTAACAGAAATTTGAATTTCTGGCTCTGAAAGTGTTCAACTAAAGTTAGTTAAAGAAAGGTACAAATACAAAGTATAGAAACTTCAAATTTCGACAAATAATCTCACGCATTTTAGTACTAGAAATAGAGGTAAATGTCAGGGAAGGGTGTATAAGAGGCTACATAGAAAACATTCAAGGGTGTGTCTGTGCAAGAGAGGACGGTCTAGAAGCAATTCCAAATTGCAAAGGATATTGCAGATGTTACAATATCCTCAGATAAAATGAAAAGCGACAACTGCCTTGCTTCTAGATAACGAATGGTAGGTTGATAATTGGTCCAGATGCTCTGGATAAGTGCTAAGTTGAGCATTGCATGTCTTAATCGAAATCATCTCTTGTTGAGAAGTCTTATAGTTATTCACAGTTCACTGACGAGCAAGAAAGAATGTAAATAGTGGCATTAACAAATCCAGTTGGTAGTATGCATGTGCATTTTTTTTGGCTAGGACATTTCAACGTTGTTATCATGAATTTCACAAGAAAAAACAAAATCCATTGGAATGCAATTTTCATGTGCTCTTAGGAGAAGCGACGCAGGGAAGCTCAGGCTCCCAAATAGTTGCTGTAAGCTGATCTACAATAACTTCCCTATAACCAGAAAGTACTTTTGTTCAAGTTATCGTGCTTGTCCTGTAAATGCATGGGCCACAAAATTCAATAGCACATATATAGCTTGCTTTTCTGTTCCTTAACCTTATTCTCGCCGCCCAACCGGTATAGTGGTTAACGTCGCTGACTGCTGTGCCGAAGGGCCCGGGTTCGAAACCTAGAGAAGGCATACTTGTAAATGTATAGCGTCGGCGTGGACACTAAATATGCGGCGAACCGAAATTCCTCTCGTGTGGTTTGGTGGAAGGAGAGAGGGTTGAAGACCCTCAGACCTGTCCCCCCGGTGCGTTCCGTGAAAATTGGGGCGGAAATAAATCGCACTGTCACTGTCACCTGAACGGTGCTCAAGGCGGTTGCCAACAGTAAGCGTGTTCTAGCGTTCCTTGCCACAAAGAATTTCGTCGGCTTGGGCAGACTGCACGCCACGGAGCAGGCTTCCGTCCTGGAAATCCATGCGGAATGATGCCTGTTCGGTGGAAGAATCTCAGGGTAGGACCGACAGACGTAAATTTATTCGTTCTCACTGAAGATTTTCATGGAAAGGGTACGTTATTGTTGCTTAGTCACCTTGCATATGAATACTACGATTATTCGTGAGGGGGAACTACTCTAGACAATAATATGCCTTCGTGTTTGAATCACTAAATGAGTCTACAGTCATAGTAAAAGTAGAAGTGGAGAGTTCAAAGTTCTAGGAAAATACCTTTGTGGATATTTGCGTAGAATTATTCCTGAGAATAATGCACAATGATCAGACGTTACTAAACCGTTATGCTATTATGCATAGCTATCACATAACTTGGTTACTGCACATATACTATACACAGTATCAATCGCCTTTCCATGGAAATACATGGCACAGTTATTAACAAGGTTTGGGCAGAACAACAACATCAGTCTCTGCTGGCTCGCTGTCTCCTTGTCGAGATTTATTTTGCTAAGTGGCCCTTCGAATTATTTCAACGCCATTTACTAATCTTTCAAAGATGATGTAACCCATGTCCTTTCAATATAATCTGTAAATGTTTAGATTATTACTTTCATTGCATCAAATTATTATTTAATTCATCATGCAGTATGCTAGCAAAATGATAACAATTAAGGATATCTGAAAATTTAAATGAACTTGCAAAACACGCAAATTCCTGGCGAAGTTCGCGCAGTTGTATACATTACGAAAACATTCCGCATGAGCATATTAGGTATTACTGCTGTAAGTACGGATTTGTGAACATGGTTTAAGAATATTAGAGTAATAATTTCTTAGTCCCTAGCAAAGGAAACAATGGTTCCTTGCAAAGAATCTTCATAGAGGTTGGACCACTTTATATCTTAAAACAGCTGCCATAATTTGGTATGATTTTAATAAATATGCGTGACTCTAATATTTTTATAACAACGTATATGTGGGAATACTTTGTTCAAAACTCTTTTAGCAATCAAATGTTCCGCACGTGTTTTTATATCCCAGTAATATCTGAATATTTTTACTGCCTGTCAGGTTATGATGCTTCTTCCAGTCCCCACTCGTGGTAATAATGTCGACTTTGGGAAACTATGATATACATTTACAAAGAGTAATCTCACGTAATTACTTTTCGTGAACATAAATAGTGTAATAGCAATTTCATGACAGTAAACTCTTTTCTCTAATTTAAATTTCTTTGAACTAAAACGTTAAGATATTTATTTTGTTTATATTCGTTTTACAGATGGCTTTGTGGGAGACATAGCATTGAGTCGGTTAGAAAATGAACAGTACGAGAGAGAGTTAGAAGAAGAAGAAAAAGATAAACAAGCTCAGCTTGCGAAGAGTTTAGCAGCAAACACCAAAAATGTCACGGAAACAATTATCAAAAGGAGACACTGGGCAGGAAAGAATGCATCCAGAAAAAAATTCAGGTATGTTAAACATTCAGTAATTTTTCTGAAATCGATGTGTTATTTCATCATTTTTAAATGATCTAAATAAATTGAGATATATCTATATTAATGTCCTGTAGTACTATGTGTATCTATATTAATGTAGTCCTGTATTTTTATCTAATGATCTGTACTATTTATGTTAATCATATGTATATTAATGAGCTCTTACTGTATGGATATTTCTCACACTGTGTGAACATAGAACATAGACAGCTAAACATTGAAATATATTCATTGAAACAGAGATAGCTAAACATGTAAAGTATTTTATGTTATTAAATCAATTATTACAATTTAAATCTTTACTATAACTTATCCTTTCCATATATCCTCACCGGGATGCAAATTAGATGGTAGAGTATTAAAAAGCCAAGAGTTTTGAAAGTTTTAGATAAAGAGCTTATGGTAGCAGCATTTAAAGCTTTATTCTCTACCATTTGGCTCTGCGTGATAATATTACAGCTTTAGCCATTTTGTTACCGACATTAGAAAACGCTTTTTAAATTTTAAGCCGGCATAAGAAGGCCAATTTATGTAGTCTCCGACTATGATACTCTTAATTTGAAATTTTGACTTAAATATTCGCAAGTGGCAGAGTATTTTCGTACGCACACGTTATGCTTTTTATTCATTTCAAAATCTAATAAAAAAGGTTATTTTTAAAATCTTCTTAAAACGTTGATGTATATTTCAGACGGAGCGATAATTCGTTTTTCTATCTAATAAGGTTAGAATAAAACTTAATTGGCGCTTAACTTTCTAGAACCATGCCCAGAGACGGCGCAAATGTCAGCCTGAGTCTCCAAAGACTCTAAGTTTCTGCAGCAAAAGGAAACTTTATAGAAATGTTTGGGTGTATTTATGATACCACTAGTCAGAGTATCTTCATCGGTTGAAATTATTCGAACAACGAGAAAACCCCTTCACCAGTCATGCACTCATGCTCTTTTAAAAACCTTGAACCGGTCAGACGTTCTTAGATGAGAGAGATGTTAACCTACAGACGGATTTTAAAATCTTGAATAAATATGAGACAGAATATGAGAAATAAATATGAATTTAATAAATATGAGACATAATATGAGAAATAAATATGAATTGAATAAATATGAGACAGAACATCACCGTTAGTCAAAATTCTAATGATGAATCGCCCAGTATAACTCTTATAGACCACTTGCTTCCATATGTTATTAACCAGGACCACAGCTCACAAGTTCAAACATATATTTATTTAATTTAGAAGTCAAACAACAAAAATCAGTGTTATATTTTCAAATTTTCACAATAAAAAAGGAATACATCTGGTTTAATCGGCCTTTGCGGTGAGAATGCATCTCCAATGGGAACTTATATTTATGTTACAGGGGAGGTAAATCATAAAAGTACCTATGCAGTCAGTTCATTGCTGGAATTCGAAACCAGGTGGAATTGTCGGTTTTCAGCTGTCTGATCTACTCGGCCATTCACGGTCTAAAGATCTTTTGAAATATTCAATGTAATTGCACGTCTGCAGATCGCTAAGATTATGGATTTTTCTCAATGCATTTTGTCTGTGTGGTCAAACGGTGTGTGAATTCCGATCTAATGAACACAATGGCTATCTAAACAGGAATGATCATTTTATACACAATGAATTTTAGTGGCAGCAAGCTGTTTGATACGTCGTTCGATATGGGATGGTGTTTTATCTCGGCGGTTAAATAAAGATGTTCATTTAAAACGAACGTAAGTCACTGAGTTCTTTGTAAAGGACTATAATTAACTTGCAAACCGCCGATCCGATTTCATATTCTTCAAAGAAAAATGGGCCAGTGTGAATGTCAGTTTGATTTTTGTTGTTTGACTTCTAAATTAATACTTGTTCGGCGTGTTATTGTATCTTAATATAATTATTTGCCAGTAAGTTATGACAATGGCAAAGTCTTTACGATATAGCTGGACTTGACATACCGTTGGGCTTTTTCTTGATTCTTTAGGAAGGCAATGATGCTTCTAGTAAAATATTCCCCTTTGGGTGTCTAATTTTGAGCAACATTCTCGATGAGTAAGTAGCCTAAATGGCAGCAGAGGCCGATCTTTAGTGATGTTTCTAATGATCCCTTCTCCCTCTTGAAGGTCTAATACTGGACAACATTCTCGGTGAGTAAATAGCTAAATACGTATAAATAAGTTTGACCATTACTGATGAATTCTTAAAGAGCAAATATCCGGCCATTTTATAAACTTGAACAGTAGAGCGGTTAGAGGCGAAAGCTTACTACTAGGCCAAAACCAAAGATGTGGGTTCTATTCCTACCAAAGACTTGACTTCCTTTCTCCTTCTCTCCCTCTTTCTTTCTTCGGGGGTATAATCAAGGGATTAACATTGCAGAGGAATTATCGATGGCCATTTCGAATGAATGATTTGATTATTAGACTGTCCAATAGGTATCGTGGTTAACGATGCTGTATGTTGTACCGTTGGTCTCGGGTTTGAATCCTGTAAAAAGCTTGGAGTTTTAAAATTTTATAGCGGTTTAGCGGCATGGAGACATTCAAAATAGTGGTCAACGGAATGTTGGTGGTAGGAAAAAAGGGATTTTTAATTCTCGAATCTATTCGCCGGATGATTCTCCTGCAAAACTGGGACGGAGCTGGGAAAATTCGTACTGTCACTCATGAGGTTTCTATGGCATTCGCTAAAGACACACACCCCTACATTCCTTTACGTTATAAAATTCACTGACTTTATCTAATGTTACTGTCAGACAGGTTAGATAAATCGCAACACACAGCGAGAACGGAGTATGAAAATTCCTATTTATATTTAAACTTCCTTCCTACTACCGAATCGTAGACTTTTTAAAATGTAATATTCCCATTAGGCGTTAATTATTTTTAAATTCCCGTGTTAGCTCTTTCATTATGACTTTGTGAGGCGTAACATTTCTAAATTTCGTAGCTTTTTTCCTTGCTCTTCTTAGCTTTATGCTGAATTTGATTATTATCATTCTGAAATAACAATGTTTCAAGTAAAATGATAAGTAGTACCAAGTAAGACAGCATGTACTGTAAATTAAACGGAAAAAGGTGAAAAAAAATCTTTCGTAACTCTGCTATGCTGGAATAAAACCATAGATTTCAGTTTTCGGACACAAATATTACTCCCACGAATTCGCTTCTCAAATTAGATTTCTTTGAAGGCACTAAAATTTTCTATTTAGCAATATCAAGAATGATGCAATTTCTACTCCCTTCCTATCCTAACGCCGACTTTCTTCTTTTGAAAAAAAATTTTTCACGTCAAGTACTACAACTTCTACTGTACCGTTGTAACAGTAACGCGTTGATAAAGTTGGCAAGTCTTTTTGAATGAAACTGCGATCAATGACAAACTTTTCCTTGGTTCTGCTGATTACTACGTTGAACTTCTTCATTTGTTTACTAGTAAACTGCACGAAGTCATTTTCCTGAAATGAAAATGACAGCTACTTGGTCTAAATCATAGTACCGTAAATGAAAATGATTAATGAACATTGAATAACTTATTGCTGAACTAATGTAATTTATTTTGATTAATCATTTTCCAATAGCAATAGTAATGATATGCCGTACGGTGAATTCGCATTTTCAAAAGTCTCCAATTGAAAATCACATGTTCACAGACACTATAGCCTTGGCTTAAATGAAATTATGTCCCTTTATTATGGCTTTCACATTTCGGAGCCTTCAGAAACTGACAAAGATATTTTTGCAGTCAAATTATCTCGAAAGACGTCCTTAGTACTTACATTTTTAATATTTTTGTTTCCATATAATAATGTTGGTTTTAAATTTTAAGCCTTTTATTGAATTTTTTATTCGCTTTCCTTTTTGCTAATCTAAAAATTTTACATTAATGTCAGGGACGAACTTATTTAATTTCTTTAACTATAATATAGGGTGGCAAATATTTGGTGGCAACAATTTGAGACGTGAAACAACGCTTATAGTGAATCGACGCAAAATACCAAAACGAAATTAATAGTCCTTCTAGGCAAACTGCCCCTTTGGACAAAAAAAAAATCTGAAATTTTTCAGATTTTAAATTACGTCCAAAGGGGCGTTTTTTTAACGTTTTGAGTGTTACCTTTATTTATTAAATATCATGTTCTTTGCACTTAAACCATAAAATTCAGTTCAAGAGCAATATCGCAAAATAATGTTAAATTAAGCATATCTTTAGAATTTCCGATATACACAGTCTCGCGAGCTGGAGATAAAAGTTTTTTTTTTTTTTTTTCTATATAACGTTGCCATTTCTCGCTTTTAAAGCATTGAGTTTGTAAATCAAAAATTCGTTAAAGTTTTTACAAAAATAAAATCTATAATAAAACAAATTCCAAATTTGGGATTCAGATGCCCATATTCGCAGTAGGATTTCGTCATTCAAAATTCGATGGCTCTATGTACCATTGTTTTATCACAATGCGAGAAAATAGACAATTATTTATGCAGATTTTTCATTATTTAATTTCTTCAAAAAAATATAATGCAGGACTCTAACATTTTGTGGCAACAGTTTGAAAAGTGAAATCGACGTTTATGAGTCCGACGCAAAATGCCAAAACGAAAGCAATAGTCCTTCGGGACTGAAATCCCTTTGGACTAAAAAAAAAAAAAAAAAATTTTGCATTCGTTAGAGAATACTTTTTGTTATAAACACAACGCCCACGTCCTTCCACAAGCATAAGGGAATAAAAACAAGTAAACATTAATCTTAAAGAAAAAAAAAAAAAAATCTGAAATGTTTCAGATTTTAAATTACGTCCAAAGGGGCGTTTTTTAACATTTTGTGTGTTACCTTTCTTTATTACATATCATGTTCCTCGCACTTAAACCATAAGATCCAGTGCAACAGCAATATCGCAAAATAGTTTTAAAACGAGGATATCTTTAGAATTTCCGATACAGAGACTCACGCGCTGGAGATAAAAATGTTTTTTTCTGCACAA